GTGTGTGTGTGTGCTCTCGATTTGACTCTGCAGCACGTCTGGGTCCTGCAGCAGTACACTGGTACTTAACTGGCACTGTCTCGCCGTGAGTTTGTGTGTGTTTATGCATCGGTGTGTGTGTAAGTGTGTGTTTGTGTGAGTTTGTCTGCACCGCCGTGACACAGCAATCATCTGACCTGCCTCGTCATCACTACCCGGGGTGAGGGATGTTGGGAGTTCCCGGGGCGTGGCGTTGCCAGCCTGACCAGATCTCCATCTTGTGCTCATTCATTCATCCGTTTCCCCTCATCCGACTCCCATCGCTTTTTTCCCCACCTTGACCGAATCCTCCGGATTACAGCAGTGATGGAGGGAAAAGCGAGAGGGCGCAGGGATTCCAAAATCGCTCTGTTGTCTTCTTAACAAGAAATGTTTAATTTTCTGTCTCCTCTTTTCTCCTGCTTTGCATCACTCTCATTTTTCCTTTGGTTTGTTCATGTTGTACCTTGAAGGACGCACGCATGTGACACTCACCTGCTTTTCCTCTGTACTGCTTTCTCTGTTTCTGTGTGTCTCCAGGATTTTTAGAATGTGAAGAAGGAAGGACATAGGGATGGAGGAAGGAAAGAAGGAACCATGGAAAGAGAAACAACCTAACCTAACAATCTTTGCTGCCTGCATCTCCAAATATAAGCTTGATCATCAGAACGTAAAGAAGGAAGCAGAAGAAAACGTGGTTTGTACAGGTGTACGAGGCAGCATGTATTAAGGCCTCAAAAACTCCAAAAGAGGTGAACTGACAGCTCTAATTTCAGGCTTATTATGTTGGATTGCACTATCTTGTAAGGTGTTCCTGTTTTTTTGTCTACTTACCCATTTCAGAGAATTATTCAAAGCAGTTTCTTATCTGTTTTTAGCACTGATTGTCAAAGTTGAGGAAGGAACATAGAGGGCTACAGGGAAGTATTAGGTACTGTATGTCCCATGGCAACTTATAAATAACTGACTTTGCTAGTGTTGTTATGTAAGGACTGACAGCAGTAGGTGGGTGATATGGTGAGATGGCCACCTGCACTGTCTGCCACTTCCACACAAAACACAGAGAGGACAAACTGCCTGTAGATGAGTCACAAGAGAAAGAGAGTGTGTATGCAAATCCCTGCTTAGTCTTCAGTTTTTTTCTGTTTAACTGCGGGTGGAGGGGACTTCCCACTGGTATTCAAACTTTCAATCCCTGGAAAAGCTCCAATTCAGTTAGGGCTGGACACATGTACACACACACACACACACACACAAAGGCGTCATTGTGTTTGACCCCGGATGACGAGCAGGCAGGTCAAAGTGGCACGTCATTCCTAGTCGGTTGAAAAAGGCAAGTACGTGGTAATGACTAGCTCTGTTTGACTGCACGCAGAGACACGCGCACTCACACACACACAGACACACACACTTTCCCTTCAATGCAGCTTGCTCCCTGCATCTTCCATTTCCATATCTTTGCTTTCTGTTATTGGATTCTTAATTTCACCCCTTGCCTTTTGTGACACACTGTGACGACTGTGCTCAATTCTTTTTTTTTTTCAGCCTCAGTTATAATAAACCCAACTCCCTGCACAGAGGAAGACTTACACACACTCAGTCACATGCTGTACGCTCATTTAGCCCGCAGTACGCTCTAGGGTTAGCCTGACATATCGGGTTAATGTTTATGTTTTATTAAAAAACGCATATTAAACATGGTGTCAGTCAGCTCTGAAATAATGGAGGTTCCTACCTCGCTGCAGCTCTTGTAAATGCATTTTTAATGTTGCTTTTTAAAGCCCCTAAAATAATTTCACCACTACAGCTCTTCATTGAGTGTTTTTAGTGTCCCAGGGTTAGCAAAATGCAATTTCAAAGGTTTTCCACTGTGATGAAAATACAATTCTGCCAAAAACAAAGGAAAACCTCTCAATTTTTTGTTTGTTTTTACTCACACAAACACAAAACACTCAAAATCTAACCCAGAAATATCAACATCAGCACATCATCCTCGAAAAAAAAACCCACAGCAGTCTAACTCGAGCTTGCACCGCACACACACTTTTAACAAGTCGCTGTAATAGCCCCAGCCTCCCACAGCACTCTCTCATAATGACACTATCCCTTTAGGCGTCAACAGAGCTGAGACAAAGCGCCGGTGTATTTGGGGTAAACACATGGCTCCGGCAGCTCGGAAGATGACAGAACGATAGGCCGGCGTTAAAGATATAGACTGATGGAACAGCTCATTATTATTTATGTGTTTGATTTATGTAAGCACAGAGGGGGGTAAAGGGGTTGAGTTGTGAAATTTTAAAGTCTATGACTGTTTTAGCCTGACATAGATCAGGTCATAAATAAGAATGCACATCGTAAGAGCACAGCTGATGTTATGTTAGAGTACATGAAGATCTAATCAGACCAAATGAATAGATTTTCTGCTCATTTCTGCTTCTGTTTGGAGGCTGATTTCTCTTTGGCGGCCATTAAACTGAAGTGACGAAGTTCATCCACTTTTTATTTATGGCCAAAAATGCTCACGTCAGTCAGTGCTGTCGCAGGATCAAGTGGGAGCCTTCATCGCCAGCTGATGACATCACCTGCATGATTTAATGATGGCAGCTCAAAGCAGCCGATTACAGGATGGAGATAAATCTGCTCTGCATGTTCACACACATGCACATACATACATACATACACAATGTACACCTCATCAGCTCCCTTTGGCTCTAGCCTGACATCTAGCGACACAGGCTGTAATGTGATTCTACATGACATGGACATGTTAACATAATGGGGCTGTAGAGGAGGAGGAGGAGGAGGAGGAGGAATGCGTGCATTGTGGAGCTGTGTGGAGCAGGAAGCCGCTGGAGTGACTTTGTTATTTCCATGCGGCCCTGATACATAATTCTACACACTTTCATAATATTCTTAATTATTGGTTTTCAGGTTTCTGGTTCACCATAATGCACTGTACAGAGTGTAAATAAAAACACCTCACTTGCATCTGTTTATAGTGCCCGCTGCAGTGATGTAATGATGTGAGCCCTGTTGTAATGATTTGTGAATAACAGGTTGGGTGAGCTGTGTTTGGGTGGGTTTACTCTCCGCGACATCCCTGCTCACCACACTGGAGTCTGACTAACACAACATGTTGTGGGTGCTTTTGTGTTTTCTCAGCACTTCCTTTGCCCCCCCTCCATTACACATCATCTAAATTTAGTCAATACTCATCCACATGAAAGTAATGAAGTTCTAAGTATATCCTTGCAAGCTTCCCCTTGCAGCCGGGTAAAGGACACTGTGTTCCTCTAAAATACACACACACGCACACACACCAAGTTCGTCTTTCTTCCAGTGGAGTCTAAAAGGAATGAGGTCAGACACACCGATCCTCATTGCACATTATTATTATTATTGCCCGTTTTTTTTATTCAGCCAATGGAAGGCCAGGGGGAGTGGCTTGACTGAAAAATCAGGATGGAGACAGACGCTGATTGGCTCTTATATCTCGCGATGAAGCTATAAAACGGCGAGGTTCTCGTTGTTGTGTTTACAGTAATATTACAGAGCGCTCAGGAAACAGGGAGACTATGAGAAAGCGCAGCCGCTCCATTCAGCCACATGGTTCCTCAACCGCACAGACAAGCTGCGCTGCAGACAGCCAGGTTCACATAAGGGACTTGCACTGCTGTTCTTGCCCACAGTGGCGCGTTTTGAATCTTGCAGGGCGAGTTTTCAGCCGCACAGGCAGTTGAAAGTTGCTGTTAGTTTCGGGATTTATGTTTTGTTTCCGTGAAGCGCACTGGTGAAAGTTGAGAGACCAGGCGTCTCCAAAAACGGGCTGAACTGAGAAGAAGAGACTTGGATGAACTTTTTAGAGCTGTATTCAGCTGCGCTCTGGCTTTTAAAGCGCCTGAAATAAGAAGAAGTGAGGAATATTTTTCTGTGAGCGCCTGATAGGCATTTTTACGCACTCGAACTTTGTCAAAGCGCTGCGCTGAGCAGTGTTTCCAGACTCTTGGAGGAAAGGATGGTGCAGCACATGAGCCAGACAGAGAGCGCCCACGCTCATTCCCCCGGCGGGGACTCCACGGACACGGGAGAAATGGACTTGGAGATGGATGCGTCTCCGACCCCCGAGTCCCCCTCCTCCGGGGAGCGCAGCGACTTGGCGTGGTGCAAAACTCCGACGGGGCACATCAAGAGACCCATGAACGCGTTCATGGTCTGGTCCCAGATTGAGAGGAGGAAGATTATGGAGCAGTCGCCGGACATGCACAACGCAGAGATCTCCAAGCGGCTGGGGAAGCGCTGGAAGCTGCTGAAAGACACAGACAAGATCCCGTTCATCCGCGAGGCGGAGCGGCTCAGACTCAAACACATGGCCGACTACCCAGACTACAAGTACCGGCCCAGGAAGAAAGTCAAGTCGGGAAGCGGAGCGAGTAAGCAGGCGGACCGCGGGGAGAAGAGCGGGGAGCGCAGCGCCAAAGCCGGTGTGAAAAGAAGCCCCGCGTCCAAAGGAGTGAGCAGGACGCACAAGCAGGGGGGCATGAAGAGCGCTGCGGGGCAGGACTATGCGTCTCCCGGTGACCACCAGGCGCTCTTCAAATCCAGGTCAGTGTCTGGCGCAAGGCAGATCCCGGAGAAGCGCACCGGTGAGGCGAGGCGCGGCCACATGTTCGGCGGGGCGGGCAGCCTGGAGAGCGGACCTCCCTCCGTGGGAGTCCCGGCCAGTCCCACCCTGAGCAGCTCGGCAGAGTCCAGCGACCCGCTCAGCCTGTACGAGGAGCAGAGCCCGGCGGCCAGCGAGTCATCACACACCGCGCGCCTCAGGTACTCTCGCGCCTCCTCCCCAACACCGTCAGCCTCTCACTCTTCTTCATCTGTGTCATCCTCATCATCAGATGAAGAGTTTGAGGACGAGCGGCTCGACCTGAACCCGAGCCCTGGGTTTGAGAGCATGTCCCTGGGCGGAATGGGCTTCTCCGACGCAGAGCTGGACCGGGACTTGGACTGGAGCTTCGGGGAGTGCGGGGCGGGATCTCACTTCGACTTCCCCGACTACTGCACCCCGGAGGTCAGCGAGATGATCTCAGGAGATTGGCTGGAGTCCACCATCTCCAACCTGGTGTTCACCTACTGAAACGGACCACGGTGGAGAGGAACCGCGACGTCCCCCCACGTTTTGAACTGTTCAACCCCCCACCCCCGACAGGCGTGTGCGTCCAGACCACAATATTTCCGCCATTCTTTCACTAAATAAGGGAGAGTGAAAACAGGAAAGAAAAGGTGGCCTGTGTGCGCGTTGAAGCCCAGGTACGCGCCGCTCACAGACTTGGACAGCGCTCCGTGTGCTTGACGGGAACGCGCAGACGGGGGAAATGCTTAGTTTGCATTTGGACACGGAGGAGGAGTGAATGTAAGCAGAGAGCAGTGAAACACACGGACTTCAGCTCAAGTGTTCAATCCAATCCGCAGAGGATGAGGACTGAGACTGAACTTTGAATCTTGATGTTATTTTGGGTCTGGAGAAGGGGCATTTACTGGAGAGCTCGTCATGTTGGGTTTTGTTTAAGAAATAGCCAATTCACATTGACCATCAAGTTGCTATTCAGGTGTAGTTTTTTTCCAAACTCAAAATAGTTTCAATATCAACACGCATGCCCTCCGAGATAAGGAGGATTTTGTTGTTGTTAAATGCGTAAAAATGTTCATTGCTGCGTAATTACGCAATTTGTGTGACCATAGGACACAATTCACTATCACCAGCTTCTCTTTCAACGGCAGGACTTAAAACAAAGACTGACTCGAAACTTCAGAAACCCTTTTCTGAACCTTTTTAAACACTGCACAATTCAGGACCAATGTTCCCCGACGCGCATCCTTTTCTGCCTAGTGCTTCAACTTTGTAGTTCCTCTGTGTCAGATGACGTTTTTTATATTGATGTATTTATACCGGCCAAACTTTTTTATACATAGAAGTATTGTCCTCGTACAGGTCTCGTTTGTGTTTGTGCACATACACCTGTCTGTATCCAGCGCGGAAGGGCTAGAAGTGTATCTTATTTAAAAATGTCTGACGTCTCTCACTTTTAAGGAGATTTGAGTGTGTCATGATTTTCTACTTGTATTTTTGTACAAAATCTATAGAAAGGGTTTTTTTCAGGCGAGTGGGTAGCCTACAACATTGTTGTTTGGATCTACATTGGTGTTTAGACGTGCAGAGGGGGGGTTGTTTGGCACAATCTGACCTCACACAGTGTTTACAGTATTTACCCACATGCTTCTTAATGGCACAGTGACTCCAGTTTCACCAGCCAAGTAAACAAAGCACCACTGAGGCTCCCAGTCTGAGTGGTGACTGTTTCCAGTACACATGATAGACCTAAAGTATATGAGTGAAAGATCCCAGAGAGTCACTGTTTGGATAGAGCTAATACCTCTGTGTGCTTTTTATCAAGATAAGTTTTATTTGAACCACTGGATGGAATTTCACACTCATTCCACTTTGCCTAGACTTTGGAGGGAGGAAGATGTATGAAGTGCTTCATCTGTTATTGCGCAAATTGCATCAAAAAAATAGTATTTAACCTTTCTGTACCTGTTGGCTAAGTATAGCAGGCTAATTGTTTTCCTATATTATGGCATGGCAAATAGCATTTGTATTTCAGATTCAGGTATATGTAGCTATAGCTGTTGTGTTTAAGATTTTTAAAAGAATAATAACATGAAGATATTTATGTAAACTGACTGTACTATAAGCAAAGATTGTGTGTTTTATGTATGATGATGATCAACGACAGGCACTAGGACAGCCATCTTTGGACATCCTTATGTTGAAGATGATTGTGGTCCAGGAGTTTCTTTTTTATTTTATTTTTTACCTTTGAGACATCTTTTCTATTGTCCTTTTTCTTTTTTCATTTGTGCAATATGCTGTGTATGATCATGTTTTGTCCAATCATGCCAATATCATTTGATGTTTATAGCTCAAAAACCAGCCAATGTTTGGGTCAATCACTGCCTCTCAGACCTCTGTACAGATTGTCGTTTTTTATTTGTTTTTCTTTTCTTCCAAGAAGGAAATAAAATCAGCTGGAACTGAAAAGTAAAAGTGTTTTGTTTCTTGTGATTTATTCATCCTCTGATCATTTGTAAAAGAGCTGAAGTAAGCACCATCAACAGTTTTATGTTGCACAGTGTAAAATATGAGGAGGTCACCGGCGCAGTCACACATAGTAAAGCCCTCTTTCCAAAGCATTCTCAAAAAAAGGCGAGCCTTCATTATCACATTCCCTAGCTGAGCCTAATTCAAAAGACCCAATCAGATGTTGGATGTTTACACACTGTTTGTGCATACATGCATGCGTGCGTGTGTTTGCTGTAGGTAAGTGTGCAGCTGCAGACTGTAAATCAATAGCCAGCCAGTGAATCGATAGGAGTGGTCTCTTTCTCCCTCTCTTACTCTTACTGATTCTACACGTGCAGAAAACGTGGCTGCCATGGAAACACTGTATCCAAGAGAGAGGCTGCAATCCGCCGTGTGTGTGTGTGTGTGTGTGTGTGTGTGTGTGAGGGATAAGGGACACAGACTGATCCATCAGGGTGGGGTAGGGTAGGTGGAGGGGGTGTCAGACATTTCTGCAAGGCATGACTGGAATAAAGGAGGATGAGGAGGCGTGTGTGTCTGTCTGTGGGTTAGGGTGGGTGGGTGTGTGTGCCTATGGGAGGGAGAGAGGGAGGGAGGGAGGTAGGTGAGGGTGCAGAGGGGGGTGTTCGTCTGTCCTGGTGGATCGTGCAGGAGACTGCTCCCCAATCCAATTAATTCCTTCTGGATGCATTCATTTGTCTAGTTCATCTGACGAGAGAGAGAGACAGGAAAAAAGAGAGAGAGACCCCTAAGGTACAGTATTTAGTGTGTATCAATTTACGCCCTATTCCACAAGAGACATTGGTAATTATTTCCATCTCTCTCTCTCTGTCAGGAGAGCAGGGTCGTCTCCAGCTTTCCTCTGACATGTCGGGCTGGGTAATGAGAAAGATAAGGCATGGTCATTACACACGCCATCCCGAAGACGAGACGCTGGACCCCAGATGTCTGCAATAAGCTTGACATCACACAGGAAGCGGTGTGTGAGGTGTGTTTGAGGTGTCCCTGTTTTTAGGGGGGAAAAAATCACCCCAGAGTCTAATGGACACTGGGAGATAAAAAGATGTAGATGCTCTCCTCACACTCACACACTGACCCACATAAAGACGCAGTGCATGAGTGTAAACAGATTAATTCAGGAGAGGACCGGAGGTTCCTGTACTGACCTTCATGACTGATTGCAACAGCTTATTTGTGTGAGTCTGAGGAGGATTAAGTCAACGTGTCTGCTTAAAATACAAATCAAAAACACAAGTCCAGTTCTATTAGTGTGTTGGAGTCACTCTGTAGCAGAATTAATCTATTTACAACTATAACAACTTTAACTGTTTGAGGTGACGAATGAAAAAAGAAAAATATTAGTCTTACACTGATAGTGTGTTTTGTTCCACAATCACGATGAAGGTGCAATTCTGAGGTATTTGTACTTGAGTATTTTTATTTTCTGCCATACCTGTACTCCATTATTTCAGAGGGGAGTATTGTATCCCCATCACATTACATTTTAGATTAAGTTTTTGCATTAAAAACATATAATAGGTTTATAGAATACGGTGCATTTAAAGATTAAACTGGTAGCTCCTGAACTTTTTGGCTTGTGACCACTAACATATCTATGAGCTGTTAACAGTTCCACCAAAGACACATTTCCCCTCTAAAAGTAGTTTAGTTTAAATAACTGTTTGAGGCAGAAAGAGGTGAATTTTTAATCATATTTTACAGGAGAAAAAAAAGAAAAAAAAAGAAATATACTTTTGTGTAGCAGAACTTCTCTACCCCATTAGTCATCTCACGACACCCTGTATTTATGTTGTGACCCTTTGGAGGGGCTCGACCCCTTGGTTGGGAAACAATTGCACTAATTGCATATAAAGTAGTTAAAACAAGCAACAACTAATTTGCTCCTGTGACAATATATAATATCATTTATAATAATATATCACAAGGGCAATAATTCTGCAGAACGGATACTTGTAATACTTTAAGTAAATTTGTACTCATAATACTGTTTTCTTTACTCAATTCAATGCAGGACTGACCTATAATGGAGTATTTTTAGATTGTTGCATTGGTACTATTACTTAAGAAAAGAATCTGAATGCTTACAATACGTTCCACAATGGTGATAAATGACTCAATTTTGCTTAATTAAACGTTATCACTGTATGTTCCTATTGCCTTCTCTGGAAGTCATATGTCTGGTGTTAGCAGCCATGAGTTAATTGTGACCCTATTTGAAAAAAAAAAATAAAAAAATCTATGGCACCTATATCATTTGCTGAGCTTTGTAGTAAGTACAACCATGTACAAGAAGCACAGCATCAGAGTCCCCAGGAATATCACAGTGATAACATATAAGGTAAACATTAGGTGCCAACAGATCTCACTGCTGGGCTGATACACTCTAAGTCCCTGTGGAAACATTATAGGAATGATATAGAATATTATATTGATAGTAGAGAAGATAGAAATACCATTAAACGCACTTTTGGACATCACAGACGCACTCACAGTCCCCGCAGGAATAACAACACAGAAGCTTTATAGTGATTTCTCGCACGCTGCCGGTGAAGTTGAAGGCGGGACACAAAGTCATAAGGCATGCACAGACAAAGAAATATACAAACACCGCTGTCATGGGCATGCAGCCCAACTTTGTCTCATTGATTTCCAGGATTTGCGCTCCTGCCGTCTTTTGCAGCTTGGAGGACACACATAGATAGTTGGCAAAGAATTCATCCGATAGAAGTTTTGGGGTGAGAAGTTTGAGGAGTGAGACTAAACTTTTATCCCGAGTCATGTGTCAGCGTTATGAGTGGAGACAAAGGAAAGGGAGTGCGACCCGGGATGTTTGTGCGTAAGGTTCGGAGAAATGGAATCAGCAAGAGGTGGAAGAAAGCAGGACTTTGGCAGGTAACCACCTCTTTACTATTAACAAGGTGGTGTAATACTTTTATTATAAAGCAATATGTGGGGGAGGTGATATGTTATTTATTCTTTGTGTCACCAAAGTTTCTTTGTATAGAGATATCTGTCAAATGACTGATACGAGCTTCTCTGGCTTCGAAGTTAGTAAAGAAACATTTTATTTCAAAGGAGGGACTGCGAGTTTTTATTGTTCTATAAAAAAGTGCTGTAAAGATAGTTTGTGGGAGATCCGAGGATGTCTGATATTAAATCTGGACTATAAATGTAACTTCTGCCAGGCTCGATTCAGCGGCTGTCTACAAACTAAACCAGAAACGACTGCAAAGGTTCGTCCAGTTGATCATTGTGACAATTTAATGCTGTTTGGAGCCGCTGCTGACTGCTGACTGCCCAAGTTCAGCACAGCAAGGGCTGGACAGCGGCTGTCTGGATATATGTGTGTGAGAGTGTGTGTGTG